TTTCATAAGACCAGTGGTTGTACAATTTTTACAGCACAGTTTTGTTTATTTTAACTTTAACAATAACCATAAATAAAGCTACAATATGTTGTCTCTACCTGAATAACTAGTATTTGTTTAAAACACCTTATGTAAATGAGGAATTTCTGCACATTGAGCAAACTGTATAACTGTATGTAATTGAGCTGCTGCGTGTCGATGAGCTTTACATGGATGTGTGTCTGCAGCAGATTTTGACTTGGAGCAGAGTCCCCATGCTGCTCCTCTCCTCACGCCTGTTCTCCTTCCCATTGGTGGAGTCAGACACAAGATAGTAACTAGGTCAATGAGATTCCTTCCTACTCTTTCAACTGGGAACCACAGCAGAGGAAGGACAGTGGAAGATATGAAAGAGAGGCGAGAAGCAGAGAAGAGGAGAGTCATGATGCCCTTCAAAGCCAACATTTCCTCTGCTGAGATCTGGTGAGAATGGACTAATAGAGGCACATGAAGCAGCTGCTCTGACATGAAACAAACGATGTCTGCAGTGACTCTCACTCCAGCATTGTTCACTTATTATGAATGCAGGCAATCTCCTCCCAAAACTCTGTGGTAGTGAAACACTGTAGAAGGACTTGAGGTTGGAAATACTATTGAATCCTATTTATAGATGTGCCCCAAAATGTAAATACTGGCAAAAGCCTGATTATGACAACAGCACTAGTTAGTGCTTTAAATGTTTAGAGGATGGTTACATCCCATTAGAGGTGCTATCTGTTTCCCCTGTGTCCAGTCTTTATGTTAATGTAAGCAAACCAGGTTCTGTTGTGCATTTCTATTTTCCATACAGATATGAGACAGTATTGACCAGAGCTGGAACAACTGGACTGATTAGCTGAACATTAACTGGCAACTATTTTGATAAGTGCTTCATCATTTCAGTCATCTTCAAATAACAATGCCAAACCAATGCTATGGTTTCAGTTTCTCAAAAGCTCAAATTCTCAGATGTTTTTCTTTGTCGTGTATGATAGTAAATGTGGACACTGAAATCCCCATCAAATATTGGACATTTGGTTGAATAAAACAATTTATATGAACTTATGAACACTTTTCACAATTTTCTGCCATTTGAAAGACTAAATGATGATCAATAATTAATAATTATTTGCAAAATCGGGATTTGTAGCCCTACTATAGATCTTCTTATCTAACTTTTGATAAGAGAGCGAATAAGCGTATTTCCCAAAATGTTGAACTATTCCTTTAAAGAACCACCTCATATTGTGTGGCTTACATTTGGTTGGTGGAAACATTAAACAGAAAAAGATTTTAAAAAATGACAAGACATGAGCTATATCTGAAACTATCCATGCATCATGACAACACATTTAACAATCGGTGTATATTAAATGAATAAATGCTCATTTTAAAACTGTCTATCAGCATGTTACTCATGTAACAGAATCAATGAGTCGATTCATTTGAGTTGATTGGGCAATTACCAGTAAATGGCAGCTATTTTGATAATTGACTAATCATTTACATAATTTATGAAATGTCCCAGAGCCAAATGTCTTAAAATTGTGCATTTTGTCCAAACAGTTCAAAGCTAGATATTCCATTTAGTGGTCATTTTGGTGAATCCACCCTTTAAAGAAACTATGTTCATGTATACAGCTTCTGATTGGTGCAGGCAAAAACAGAGCACTCCTATTCCAAATTGGAAGATAACTTTTTAGCACAATCAGAGCCTCTTTATGTCAACAAAGGAAATCTGGCGTACCTGGAGCTGACTGAGGACGAAGAGCAGAGGACAAAGGATTACCATTCTGCAGTATTGAAAGATGAATTCATCCAAGGGGACTGGGAACAGTAAATAAATTACCTGATGTTATTGACATTTCATTGCATCTATCAGTAGAAGAGGAATGAAAAATCGCTCCACCAATCATTTGCCTTCATACTGCCTACACTGAAGCAGCAGCAGAAATTTGCCCCTCAGGCCAGCACTGTGACAACAGAAGGTCCTGTCAACTGGCCCTCCTAAATGGCTTAATACCAGGTCTGTAAGCTGTGGAAACATATCGCAGGCAGACAGGGCCTATAGCCATTCTCTGCCACCTTCCCTCTCTGCCTCTCACTGTCTCCTGCTCTCCCCTCCCATCACAATGTACAAAAAACAAGCAAGGCTGTTTTATAACAGGCCTTCTTCTTGGATTAATCCATGCAGGGGTGCCAATCACTGGGTCAGATTCACAGTGAGCAGCCTCTGGTAGCAGAGAGCGGGCTCAGAGACATGAGGAGATGGGCTTTAAAGGGCAGAGATGCTCAAACAATCTGCACTCAGCTGATCTTTTTAATTTCTCCAAACAAATTGCAGTGTAATATTCATGATGCTCAGCTCAAATTGCTCCTGATACATAAGGAAAGATGGTCTGTTGATGTTTACCACAAACCTAAATTAAGCTAAGGCACATTGTCTGACTACAGCATAGACCCTTATGTGAAGCTGAATTCAGCTATAAATTGAAGATCCGTTATATTTCAGGTACATTAATGTTCATAGGTTTATGGGTACCCCTGGGGAGAAAAGGCTGTTTCTTATGTGATTTATGTGAATTTGAAGATGAGCTCCATTGCATGTGTTACCGCTCACCTTTTAGTAAAATGCCCTTCACTTCTACAGAGTTCTTCTGCATTCATGATCATAAGAAACTTGAGCAGTATTTTAGGAAATAAACCATTTCATGTGGGTTTATTTATGGAGCTGGAGACGGTAGACAAAGTTCTTTGTTTGTAGTAATATAATGTTCATGTCTGACAAATGTTTCACCACTGTAACTCTAACTTTGCTGCCTTGTGTTCAAATAACTGCCTACAGCAGCTAACTGTCAGGAGTAACCAAGGCTTATTTCACTGTGAAATCTTAAAGAAGCCTTTTTGTATCCAAATTATATGTTAGTATTTACCTTTAATGAGAAAGGAGCTGCAAAAGATAATTTGGGAAAACAAATAAATAGAGGGCAGGAGCACCTCTTATAAGGTTCTACAAATCGAAGGAGTGTGGAGGATTTCAGCTTTTCTCTGCACTATATTACACTCTGGTCACAATTTACAAGGTCTAAAGCAGAAAAGGAAATAAACAACCTTTCAGTCCAGTTGAACTACATTCTTATCACTGAGTGTGCTCCCCATGTCTCCTTTGTCACTCAGCCTGTGACTGAGCACAGATTCAGTCAAATATATCACTAACTAAATGGTTTCAGCATGTTTCTAAACACACTTAACATTAAAAAGATTAAACTGGCTACCCACTGTGCATTATGAATTTCAAGGGAATTAAGGACTTTCAAAATTAGTGCACGGTTATTAACTAAAATCCTGGACAAAAACTATAGAGTCCATGCAACAAAACAGAAATATTGGGGTGCTGCTCCCTCCCATGCTTCTGGGAAGGAGGGGGAAAGAGAAATGATGTCGCGTGATGTCAAAGTGCAGATCCAGAGATGGCTTGTGTTCTTCTGGGGAAAACCTCGGGGAACACAAAAAATCTGCAATCATTTGGGGCAGCCTCTCTCCTCCAGTTCTGTGCACAAGAAAGCCTGTGATATCCTGTGGTCATATGTAACACAACATTGCTCAGGGTCTGAAGCCACCACCAGTGCAACAACTGCTGAGCAATTTTTTTTTTAAAATTTAAACTTAAAAAAAAGCCTCCTGGGAAGCACTTAGTCCTTACTTCATTGTCTTCCATTACCACTGTCAAGCAACAACAAAAACTGGAGTTTGCATTTGCTGCATTAGCACATCCAGACTAGACAAGGATTTTCTATCTCTGCCCCAGCTGGTGCAGCTCGACCCGGTGCTGATAGGCTGCCTTTGAAATCAATAATGTCGCAAACACTGACAGTTAAGGGTCATAAACTGCTTCAGAATATAGATTTTGACCCAATGGAGGACATATTTGGAAAGCAGACAGAGGCATGTCACAGAAAAAGAGCCAAGTTGTGTTTAGACGATGCGGAATCTGGGAATCAAACCAGATGACAGTGAGAAAAGAAACCATGTCATCCAGTAGCAAAGAGAAAGTCCCAGCTCCACACTGCCTGCTCTGGTATTAGCCTACTTTCTCTTTGTTGCCATGTTACCTGCTGGTGTCACAATCGATTTGTTTAAGCAGCTGAACTTGAGCAGCACTGAGAAAAGCCTCCGCTCATCGTATTACCTGTGACAAGACTTTACTCCAATTCAATAAAAGCAAATACTCTCTTCCCTGAGACATGAGATACAAAACTTCATAAACAAAAGTTTTATTTCTACAGTAATAACATAGTCCAAATACCATCAGTACCTCATAATGCATGTATTTAAGGTTCTAAATCCAACGGATTTAATCCAAAATGTTAAAACTGATTGAACACAATATGAACTTGAATTCGAGGTCAGCAACACAACTGAGCTGATAGTGAGAGCGTTGACTGCAACTTATTGAGTAGTACTGTAGCTCTGTCTGAATGTCCCAGTGCTGAGGTTGTACTAGACAATTTGCACGGTTATGTAATGCATTCAAGATGAGATGCATGTAGACTAAAGTTGCTCAGATAATCTGTGCATCATTGAACAAAGCAAGTGTTTTAAATGGGCTGCCTGGGAGCGATGAAGTGAATAATGAAGTTACAGTGACCCTGCTGATCCAACTGGTGATCACCACTGATTTGAAATGACATCACATTAACTGAGTTTATATTCATTTATATCGAATGCTTATAGTCAAGAGGATACAAAATATTGTTTTTATAGCACACCCACCAACACAGCTACACTCTCAGCACTACTGTCACTGACATGCATTCAACACAAGTCCCCAGCAGCTTCAGAGGACAGTGCTGGACAGTAAAATTCTTTTAAAGATTCTGTACATGTACTAGAACACTGCTGTTTATGTACACAAAAGCACAACTTGGTGTGTGTGAAATGCGAATGTGCAGTGGTGACATGAAACAACATCGTCCTCTCACCTCTTTGAGCCTCTCCAGCTCGTTGTGCAGTGCCTGTTTGGAAATCTCCACCTCGATGATCTTTTGTCTGAGCAGCTCGTTCTCATCCTCAGCTCTGCTGCGTTTGTCCTCCACGCTCTCTAGCTCGTTGTGTAAGCGCACAGACACATCTTTGGCCACCTGGGGTCGAGAACAAACGCATGCAAACACACATGGATAACGTCTTTAAGCAACTTCAGTTAATTAAAACTGTATTTTGTTATTCTGGGTTCAGTGAAGCGCTTCAAGATGAGGGCTTTACCTTGTAGCAGTGTTGAACTACTCAAATCCAGTGCTTGGACTCAAATTTGGCCCAAGTCCTGATTTTCAGAACTTGTGACTCGACTGAACACTGATGACTCAGAATTGTACTTGAGCATTGACTGCATTCAGACAAGGACTCTGAGTTTTTTTCTTGTAATAGTTTATAATAATTTGGCATAAGATATTGATATTAAACCTGCCTGCATCATGATGTGTGTGGCACACTTCTGTCGAAGCGTACAATCGAATTCCACAATCACTGACTAGTCAAAGCCTAACACAAAGAAACAAACATCACACTGACAAACCCAAATGTATGTTGTTCTCTATGAACACATACTGACACATTCACACAGACCTTCAGATCCTGCTCCAGACTACGGAGCAACTCTCCGTCCACGTGGCCAGTCTGTGCAACCCGCAGGCTTTTCTGCTCAGCTTTCCGCAGGCGGTACTGCAGGATGCGGCAGTTCTTGTTGGACCGGTCCAGTTCCCTCCGCAGCTCCTGCAGCTGGTAGACCTCCTCCTCCAGGTAGCTGTCTCGTATCTCCTCCATCTCTGCACGCAGCTCATCCACTTCATCCTGAGAGACAAGGAGGTCAAGGCCCAGCTCTTACCTTGACTTCAATGTTGATTGCCAGTACTGGCATCAGTAAATGTTTTTTATGCTAATGTTAGATGGATTTTATTATAACCCTGTGCTGTAACAAACTGAAGAACTTTGTTTACAATTTCTCTTTTAACAGTGAAACGTGCAATAATAATAGTTCTGTCTCTTATGGTTATGTTGTAGTCTGTGTTGTTATTATTTGCAGCAGGTTCTTTTGAGTTTCTTGGGTAGTTCTGAATGTGTTTGGGTCAAAAGTAATGACTTGGGCTTAAGTTAACAGAAAATATGTGCCTCAAATTGTATTGTTGTAAAAGATAAGCTGTCCAGTTCTGTAGCAACGACACTTTTTGTTGGAAGGAGGAGGTTCATCCTCTAGGGAGCAAGAATATTTCAGGAAAAATTAGGGGGTCACCAAAGCATTAGGATTTATGTCAAAGGCACCATGACAACTCATAGTAAATAAGATGTAAAAGCATACAAGCTACTTTCTAAAGCACCAAGGCAAATTTCTAACTTACTCTCTATAAACGAATTTAACTTGAAGGTAACATCAACACAAGTGGTGTCAAGAAAATGGCACAATTTGAAAGTTTTGGAATACAACACCGACAGACCAGCTGACAAATCAACTGTTGGGATGTAAAGTGGGTTATGACTATGTCAGAAATACTGACAGATCTGTTACATTAGTTTTTTCTTCTACAGTAAAAGTATTACAGTTTACAGTTTTCCAAAGCATTGATTTTAGTACAGAATATTCAGGACAGCTTAATGGCATTCATGTTTCAGGTAAAGCTTTCCAAGGGAAACAGTATAATATGCTTATGTAGAATGTGCTGATATTTGTCACGTGAGTTTCAGTAATGCAAGTACTCTTTGCTAGCTGGCTCTAAGAGAGGGGGAACACAGACAGAGTTATCTGTTGGGGTTATCTGTCTGCATCCGATCCTAAGGAATCAGTCTGTTCAGGAGATTTCCCTAAGGATTAGATGTTCCAAAGGCTTGACTGGCACCTAAAGAAAAGACAACTGGATACCAAAAAGGGGGGAAGGGGAGGGAAGAGTGTGTCAATTAATGAAAACTAAATCCATCCTCATTTGGAAAATCACAGAGCCCATTGTTATCCGAGGAGGGCCCTGGAGGAACAAGCTAATGACCTTGCACAGGGTTGGTCTGATCGATGGCCAGGTTATAAGCAGAGCAGCATCCTGGGAGCTGGTTTATTTACAGGTCATCACTGGGGTTTATGAACGGTGTGCAAATAGACTCAGTCATTGCTATAACAGTGTTTAGCTGTCCTTAATATTTCCGGCAACTACAGTAATTACAATTTTACTCCTGAGCTCCGACTGCAATAATTTTATATTTTTTTCAAGGCAAAAATCACAAATTTGCTACTTCCACCCTCTCAAATGTGAAGCTTTCCTGATTTTATTTATTTCAGCATAGTTAACTGAATATCTGTTCCAGGCACCCACAACAGATAAACACTGAAATCCCCATCATGTCCTTTATATCACGCATGAAACAAAGAGGTATCAGCTGTGACAACAATAAAATCAATGCGACAAACCCTTTTCCGTTTCACCGATAAAAATAGTAATTGGGGGGGGGGGCCCCCAGACCTTTTGGGGCATGGGGGTTCACATCAGAGACCCAGCTGGCAGCCAGACAGCCATGCAAGAGGGCATTTGAACCCCCACCCCCCACACGGGACAGCTGAATGCTATCAGGTCCTGTGGGATAAAGCCATTACAGCGAGAGCCAGCAAAGCTGATTAACTCTCTTGTGGCAGAGACACAGATACAGACGTGCATGATCAAGTTTTAAGTAATACTCACAGGAACATGCAAATAAACCTGTCTCCCATCTGAAAAAGCCTGCATGATTGTTTCCCACATTACCCGTTCGCCTCCCCTCCCCAGATTATGGGGATATCCCAATTAAAGAAGGCAGAGGGGGATCCTCATGCAAAAGTAGTGTTGGCACACTGTAAAACAAAACATATTTTCATACAACCATATTTTTGCCTGACAGATATCAACACACCAATTAATGGCTGGGTTAAAAACTAACATGCAAATGTTAAATGAGAGTTTATCCCTGTGTACAATCAGTGCACATCATTACATGACGACAGAGGGGGACAATATACTGAGTCTCTCTGTTAAAATAAACTTTAGTGACTTGACAACATTATAAAGAAATAACGTGAAAGGACACCCCAGGGTGAAGCCACCATTATTAAAACTCCCATCAATAAACATCAAAACCATGATGGATGGTGGACAGCAGGACTACATGGGGTGACAGCTGGGCATCAGGAGGAACTGTGTTTAGATTATGACAATTTATACATTTAGATCATGCTTCAGAGAGTAGGCAGGTGGGCACTGCTCAAGGAGCTTTATAATGATGATGGTGAGGACTAAACCCAGGACTTTCCTGGAACGGGACAGTTTGGGATCTTCTTTGAAAAGCAGCTGCTGGTGTACTAGGAGATTAAGTGAAGCAAAACAAAATTGTCTTTTACATGTAAACTTGAAGCAGGTGATTGTATATATCATATGCAACTTAAAGTGCCATCACTGACTCTCCTGGGACGTGCTTAGAAACCATGGCTTTACCTTGAGGTAGTCGTTTTCAGATCTCAAATCTTCAATTTCCCGCAGCATGTCCTCCTCGGTTACATCCTTGGTGCCTGGCAGTTTGAACTGTGAGCTTGTTGAGGGTTTCTCCTGCTTGTGTTTCTGTCCGTGCGCACCCGGAGCGGGCTGAACCTGAGACATGCTTCCCTTAGCGGCGGAAGCTCCCGGTGTGCGCAG